GCGCAACTCATCCATACAGCGGGCGTAGACGCTGTCGGAGACGTCGATACGGAGGGATGTTCGGACATCTTCGATATACTCCGCGATGGGATCGTACATCGCGCGAGCGCGTCTTTCGGAGAAGTCGGGCGACGGTTCGCGGTCTCGGGGACCAGCGTCGCCGTCGCCGACTCGGACGCGGAGCGCGGCCTCTTGCACATCGGCGGGCTCCGAGCGAATCGAGGTGGGATATTCGCCACTCATCTCGACGCGTACGGACGCGGAGGTAAACGATAGTCTTCTCGGTTCGATCGTGAGAGTCTTCTAGGTCGGGAGACCACTGTAGTATAATCACCCCCAACGACGAAGGGGGTGAGTACTGACAGTTCGGAAAGACCCCGATCGGCGGGAAGACAGAAGCACGGCCCACCCACGGTACCGAGCACGGGCTCGAGGTAGCGGTGGTAGAGCGGGATCGGGGAGGACGCACGCACGCGCGAGCGGTTCTACGCCTCGACGCCCCGGAGCGGTACTGGGTGACGATCCAGTACCGACGGGCGGAGGTGGAGCCGGCTCGTGGGCGTGCTACGCGCGTCCTCAACCCGCGCGCGGTGCTACTTCTAGGTAAAACGGACGGAAGTACCTAAAAGTAAGCGGGCGGACCAAGGTGGAGGATCCTTGACAAGTCCGTGCTTGTCGCCCTCCACCGCCGGCGGTCCGCTCATATTTAATGTACATCGTAGTCTATCATAACTCTACAGTAGTGCCGGTCTACCGACACTGTAGCGCTGTCAGCCGGCGGGGCTGACAGTCCACGTGTAGTACGCGTCCCGTACACGTGGAGGACACGTGTGTGCGCGCATGGCTGTAAGGCTCGTTGCCTTACTGTCCCTGATCCAATCCTAATCTAATTTGCGTTTGGGGTTATACCACAGGTACGTCGGCGATATCCATACAGGACCTGGGTGAGTGCTTTGTCCCACTCCATTCCAGTTCCAAGAACTGTCCTACGGACGGCAGCCTTCAAAGTTCCAACCATTCTCTCTGCTCTACCGTTAGACATGGGAGAGTAGGCGAGGACGGTGCGCCAAGTGATACCGTGCCGAGCCATGAAGCTAGAAACAGCCGAGGCTGTGAAGCAGGTAGCATTGTCAGAGACAATGGTTCTCGGAGGGCCGAATGAGTACATGATTTCTCTCTTGACGAAGTCGAGAACCACTTGAGCAGTACTATCAGCAGTGGATAGAGCAATTGGCCATCCTGTGAGGTGTTCGACCGCAACCAACACGAAGCGATTTCCAGACGAAGTGACAGGGAAGGGTCCAGCAAAGTCAATAGAGAAAATATCAAACAAGCTTGTGATGGGAAAACGCCAAGTTGTCTTATACCTGGGAATCGGACGTGGCTTCTGACACCCGTCACAACTCTTCACGTAGTCTCCCACGTCCATACCAACGGTCGGCCACCAGTACCTTTCCGTGACAAATTGACGAGTGGTCTTCAAGTCCCAATGACCAATGTCGTCATGGAAACCCTTCAGTACCTTTTTGCGATCGGAAATTGGGGCAACAACACGAAGGCCACGAATGGTGCGGCGGAACAACTTCGACTCCCAGACAAGAAAGTTCTTCGCATTATTCTTCATGCGAGACTTCCTGTAATCATCCAACCCAACCGGTGTTTCGCCTTGCAGATAGGACATGATATCTTGGCAAGACTCTTCTAGATCTTCTGGAGAGTAGATCGGGGTCGTGATAGTGAGGGCAAGGTCTCCCTCTTCCTGGCAAGTTGGGTTGTCGCCGTTCTTGGGCTGAATGCGAGAAAGGTAGTCAGCTGCACTATTTGCGGATCCACGACGATATTCCACGGTAAAGTCGTACTCGGCTAAGAAGTCTAGCCAACGAGCCAAACGACCGTGGATGTCTTTCTTGCGAAAGGCGTAACTAAGAGCCTGGTGATCCGTAACCAACTTGAAAGGTGTAGACGAAAGTACTTAAACACGAAATTTCTTCAAAGCAAAGATGACCGCAAGCGCCTCCCGCTCACAAGCGGAGTACTTGCGCTCAGATGTATTCATAGTACGGCTTGCGTACTGGATGGGGTGTATTTTCCCATCTTCCTTCTTTTGAGCCAACACAGCCCCGACTGAGACCGAGGACGCATCCGTCTCAACGACGAAGGGCTTCTCGAAGTCTGGGTAAGCCAAGACTGGCCGAGAAGTTAACTTTATGCGTAGTTCATCAAAGGCTTCTTGCATTTCTCCGGTCCATTTCAATCTGCCGTTTCCGGATGCAGCCGCATGGAGTACCGCAGCAATGTCCGCAAACTTGCAGATGAAACGACGGTAGTAGCTTGCTAACCCGATAAAGCTCCTAAGTTCAGTCGTAGTGGTCGGGACCGGTGCATTCCGAATTACTTCGACCTTGCTCGGGTCAACGGCAATCCCGCCTTTGTCGACAACATGGCGGAGCAACTTGATCTTCGCCTGGGCGAAGCTACACTTTGTCAGCTTAAGCTTAAGACCAGCCTCGTCAAGCACATCAAATACATGCTGCAGGTGCCGAAGATGTTCTTCTATAGTCTTAGAGAACACCACAACTTCATCGAGGCACACACGCACAAACCGCACTCCGCGAAAGATGTATCCGCCATTCTCTGAAATGTCGAAGGCGCATTCATCAATCCAAAGGGCATGACTTCGAACTTATACGTCCCGTAGCGACAGACGAAAGTAGTCATTTCTTTGCATTGTCGTGCCATCCGAATTTGCCAGTAACCACTGAACAAATCCAGAGAAGTGAAGTACGCACTTCCTTCCAAGTCATCAAATATCTCTTCTATTTTCGGCAAAGGCCATCTGTCTGCTTTCATCTTCTGGTTCAGAGAACGGTAATCAACACAGAAGCGTGGATTCCCATCTTTTTTGGATACGATGACGACCGGAAAGGACCATGCGGCGCTGGAAGGCGTGACGATTCCTGCTTCCAGCATTTTGTCCAGCTCTTTCCGAACGATCTCGTTATGCAAGGGAGCCATTCTCCTCGCCGAGTGATAGATCGGATTAGTATCATCTAACTCGAAATGGTGCTTGATTGGGACTTCAGCAAGCCGAAGGTCGTCAAGGGATGTAGCAACGATACTCTTACCCATCAGGGCGGTCTCGATGACTGCTTGAGCTTCATTGTCAAGATGCACAAGTTTTTCCCGAAGCATTTTCACGGCCTTGTTGATGACATTCGAATCAGGTGATTCTACTTCCTCATCTTCTCCGATCGCTCCGTCCAGAGTTAAGTCTAGCTCGAAAGGTTCATCGCCGAGGATGGCGACAACATAAGTCTCTTCTTCCGACGAGTTTTCTGAGGCGAACGACTCGACATCAGAAGTGAAGTCCTCACTATCAGTCTCCGAATCCGCGACAATAGGACGTACTTGATCCAACTCCAGACTCATTTTCACGGTTTTGTTTCCGATCAACATACTAACAGACTGGTGACCTAGATCGATGCAGGCTTGAAGTTCTTCGAGAGTTGGATACCCGATTAAGATATCAACTGGGGATCCTTCAACAACCAAGAAGTTGAGTGAAGTAACAGCACCATTGAAAGTGACAGGAACTTCCTCGATGGACCCTAAGCAGGTTGTCTTTTGTCCATTGGCGACCGTAATCTTCGTCGAGGTCGGCTTTGGGGACAGAGAGAGCTTCAATGCCACAGACGCATTCATAACGTTAGGGATAGCTCCTGAGTCTAACAACGCTTTCATTTGTGTCCCGTAGACTCGTACCGAAATTACTTTCAGACGTTTCGGCAAAGTACCAATCGAAGCAGCTACGGGGCGCCTAGGGCGACTGTTGAACAAACGACGGATCTCTTTCTTAGCCTCGTCGCCATCTCCTCGAATCAGTTGACCGAATGTCAAACCAGAGGGGGCGTTCGCGAGGGAAGAAACCACATCGTACTTCCCCGAGTGCTCTTGGACGGCGTTCTTCTTACTTGTCCTCTTCTTTCTTGTTCGACGGCCGGGCTTAGGAGGTTTCCTCATGTGGTTCGGAGTCCAGTACTTACGCGGGTTGAGAAGGGACGGGATTAGCTCGCCGCCACCATCCTTTCGCGTCTTGGCCACCGGCTCTCCATCGGCGTTTCTCTTGACTGATGCCACTAACTTCTCATCAGCAGGGAGGTCGTCGTGCGTCACAACACTCACCTGGTTTCCTGCAGAGCCCTTCCGTGTACCCGACACGGGAATATCCGTCTGGGTCTTCTTAGGAGAATAGGCACTGCTACTTCCCCTCTGTGGACAAATTCTAGCCCAACAGCTTGTCTCTGAATGACCAAATTTTCCGCAGCGAGGGCATTTCGTGTCCCTATGCGGATTCGCATTGCATCTATTAGCGCCATGACCCGGTCGTTTGCGATAAGAACAAGTACGATCGTGAGCGGGGCGGAATGCTGTTGCGTCATCCCTCGACTGATTCTTCTTGATAATAAGGGAAATATCGGCTAGTCGATCAGCTAAAGCGTCAACCTTCGTCTCGAGTGGAGACAAGGGAGCTTTTGAACGCATCATGACCCTTTTTGATCCACCTTGCCCTTTCGGCTCATACATAACTTGCGAGCTCTCTGACCCCTGGTAGCGCGAATTGCTCAAGGAGTTCGCCGCCGACTGAAAGGCGCAGCGACTAGACCAGAAGTCCATGATTGCGTCGAATACGGCCTTGTAGGTCTTCGCACCTCGATAGATGGCAAACTGGGCCAACTGGAGATGTTCCATCACGGCGCTGCGATGCAGTCCGAACTTCGCTTCGTTGCTGCATCCCGCCTTCTCGTATAGACGGTCTGAGTTTCGAAGGGACCCACTGAGATCCCCGAAAGAAAGGCGAGCGGCCATAGCATCCCGAATCACATCTTCAGGTGATTCAACCGGGGCGACCCGCTCGACCAAGGCCTTCTTGACCTTCTGGTAGTCGGAGCCATCTGCACTGATATCCTCGTTCTTGCCAAAGGCTTGATAAAAGAACTCGAATGCATCTCCATCCAGGTAGCGAAGGAGTTCAGATGCCTTTTCTTCGTCCGACTTGCCAGAGGTGGCAACATTCTCGAAGACGAAGAAGAACTTGTGAACGTCGGCCGGCTTCGACCCGTCAAACTGTGACAGGGAGCCGTCTTCTTTGCCACCCCTCCACAAGAGTACCATGTTGGCGGCGAAAAGGGGGGAGGAAGGCCGCGCGCGTAGGGGAGAGAGAAAAGATTTTTTTCAGAAGCGTGAAGTTTATTGCAAGAGCGGGGGTCAGTCCGGCGTGTCCTTCTGTTCCCCTTGTCGCGGGGTGTCGCGGCGCGCCCCTTTCTCTTATAGAGGGGCCGCCAGCATCTTCCACTTCCCAGGACCGCCGCCCTTTAAAGGGAGATTGTCCACGTGTACATCTGGCGTACACGTAGACCAATAAAATCATCTTTTGAAGGCTTTGGTCCTGGGGCCACTCCCGGGTACTGTACCCTATACAGTACCCCAAATCTCCCCCACAATTCGTTTCTTTCCTCGCACAGGATAGAAATGGATATAGCACGCGATCACTCAGAATTCATCGATATTTCATAATCACTATAACCAATCATCTTTCGAGTGCTATATGCGCCGTGCCTCAGACCCTTTGTCTTGGCGAAAAACTTGGGAAAAACTAATACTCGGCCCCTTGCGGGCCGTCACATATGGCGACGCACTTGTTGTGTTGCGCACTCTTTAGAGCGCTGCATGGCTAAAAATGTGCGCTATAAATTAGCGCATTGGTTGCCTTGCTCTTAGGGAAGTCGCGGGCCGCTACATCGGGCGTTTTTTGAGGGAAAGATGCAGCAGGCAACAGACACGGACAAGAAGAGCAGGGCAGGCACAAACGCTTCAGGCTGCGCTGCCCTTGCACTGCCACCGACATTGGGACCCTCTGGACTTGTACACGCGGACACGTGAAGCACAACTTGTAACATTGCTCTTTGTGTTTCCCGACCCGCAGGTCGTGTACCATTGTATACCTTGCATGCCTCTGTTTAAGTCCATCTTGTCTAACTGTATACTTTGCATGCCTCTGTTTAAGTCCATCTTGTCTAACCATGTCAGTACGTAAGTCGAGGCGTCAGTGGCACTATACTGTAGTGACAGATAAGCTTTAGCTGTGGCGCATCTGGACCATAAACACCCTGCAGGAACGCTTGCAATTATCTCGCAGTCTTCTCCCCACATTTGAAAGTGACATCAGTGGATATGTAGTGATGTGGATGTGCCATCTACTACAGTACACTGCGTTATAGTTGGCAGCGCTGCCCACCGGCCACCATTCGCCGCTCAGATGCTAGACACGAGACACAGAATCATTCATGCGTGTCCTCGTCCCCTCATTGTGATCTAGTTCCACATCTCAAACTATGAAAAACACAATCCATTGTTAGGACCGGCTACCGTGAAGGTGGTTTTCACACTGTATGTCGTAGGCGCTGTTGTCCCCACTGCTACATATGTCGACGACATTATTGAAACATTTTTCCTCACCTGCTTGCGAATTTTACCTTCTGTCCTGTAATTGATATTACCAGAACTTCCATTTCCCAGAGCGTCGTCGAGCTTCCCTTTGATAGGTGTTCATTGCTTTGCCCTCAAGTAATACCCACATTTCGACCAAAGTTTCGCATGAAATTGATTGCGCACAACAGCGCGCAATTGCGGCCTGGATCAGGACCTCGGTGAGACACAACGGTCCGGCAAACACACACAAGCGCCCCAATCCACGTCATTGGTACGGTAATTCCGCTGGCGGTGATCGGGGTGATCGTCGCACTGCTTTTCCAATAGATATAATGCCGCTAGTCATTTTTGTCGAAATGGAGAATGCATCGAATAGCCCAAAATGTCGAGACGTGAGTACGCGTGCAGTGTGGATATGTAAATGAGAGACAGGTCATCTGTTGGAGGGTGCAAGGCGTGGGAAGGTGCGAAGCATGGGAGGTTGCAAGGCGTGGGATTGCGAGGCGTAGGATTGCAAGGCGTGGGAGAGTGCAAGGCGTGGGGCTGCAGGACGTGGGGTTGCAGGGCGTGGGGTTGCAGGGCGTGGGAGAATGAAGGAGGTGGGAGGGTGCAGGGCGTGGAAACGTTCAAGGTGGGACGGTGCAGGGCGTGGAAACTTGCAGGACGTGGGAGGGTGCAAGAGGGATTCCTGGGCCACACTGGCACCTCTGCTGTTTTCTTCATTCCACCTCGCAACATCTTGCTGTTCGGGTAGCTGTTCCGGCACGAGTGCAAATGACTTGGCAGAACAAACTTCGGACAGCTCTGCCTCCGTTACTCCGTTACTCAGTCTGTGCTGAAGTAACGCTGTAATGCCAAATGTACATCAATCTACTTTATACATACGCCGCCCCACTCCTCCCACTTCTTCCACCACTCCTCCCCATACCCCTCCTTTACTTGCTACTTCTCCCCACATTTTTACCCTATCATACCTCTTTCCTCCCCCTCAATTGATACTCTGTAACTTTCCTAGTTCTTTACGGATTGTGCATAGTGTTTGCGTTTGACCAAGTGCGGGGTTGCCTCCGCATGCTTTTGTCATGTTCAATATCTCTTTTGTACTTCTTTAAATTCCTCAGCACAGTGCCGTTGATATACATGATTTGCTTACTGCCGGTTGTAGTTTCAGACAGACTTGAGATATGTTCTGTCATCCACACACAGACCTCTTTTGCCTCGCGTGCGGCTTCAGCAGTGTTCTTCATCAAACTTTCTCTCGAGTCTGCAAAGAATTCAATGCTGAGAATGTTCGTTATGCTATTGTCGTTTATGCACAGCTGGGGAGGAGCTGCATGATTCGGATGACGTTGCAGCGCCCCCTCAAGCTTTGGAATGAACCTGTTTGGCTCCCTTTGTATCTCCAGGAAGGAAGGGTGCCGCCTTCGGATTATGTCACGATAAACAGGCACATCTGCCCCAGCAACTAAATGCTTGCACAGTAGAAAGGGGCTTCGAAGATAAGCCGGGCATGAGCATGTCCACGTGTCCTTGTCCACAATATAAATCCCTCGAATTGTCTTTGTGGCACATCTCTTCCATTCCTCGACAAATTCTCGCCACCAACTGGGCTTCTTCCTTCCATTCCTCGACAAATTCTCGCCACCAACTGGGCTTCTTCCTTCCATTCATCAGAAGATGGTAGTCCGATGTATACTTGCTCAATAGCTTTCTGCCAAGAACATAAAGCAAAAGATCTACTCTGGGGCGGTTGTATGGCAATAAATAAAGGCGCTTCAGAAGTGACCAGTGCGACTCGCACATCAAGTTGTCTTCGAAAGGGGTATCAGGGAAGCATTTCTACG